CTGCCCTCCCGTATCCCTCCCACCTCCAGATCCCTCCCCTCATGGCCTGTGAAGACTTGGAAAGGTCCATGCTGAAATGAGAGGTGAGACAGGCTCAGATGTGGTCTCTGTGGTTGTGTCGGCTCCCCCAGCATTCCTGGAAAGACGCTTGGGGTGAGGCTGGGCAGCCCCTGCTCACAGTGCTGTTCCCGAGAATCCCCGGGCAGGCATCAGGAACGAAGGCAACGAAATAGGCTGAGCTGGCTCCGTACCCTACCCTGCTGAAGCTGGGCCATAGGCTGGTTTTTGTAAAAATGGTTTAAAAAACAAAACAAAACACCCCCCCCCACACACAAAAAAAACAAAAACCCCAAACCCCAGCCATGAGCACCACCCTCTCCTGAGTAGGGCAAGAGGAGGCCCCAGCTCTGGACTCTGAGGTCTGAGGCACGTGGCCTCGGCCTGGCATCACCTCCCTGGAGGCAGGCAGCACCCTGAGGGAGGCCAGGTGGGCTCCTGAGCCCCATTTGTGGCCTGTGTGGCCTCTGGGGTCTTGAAAGAGCTTCAAGATGGCTGTCTCCCCTCTTTCAGCAAGCCAGCAGGCTCTCTAGGCCTCGGGAACCCTATGCAACTTTGGCTCTTTGGATTCCAAAGATCTGAACTTCTCCTCCAGCCCAGCTGTGGGTGGCAAATGGATGACAGGCTTGATCTGCAGAACTGGAAGGGCCTCCTGATTCTTCTGGTTGAACAGACTTACCCTGTGCTCCAGCTCAGGGCTGGTCTGGGCTGAGCCCTCTGGGAGAGGCTGAGCCAGGGGGGCTGGGTCCAAGGCCTTATGGGATGGGCAGGGGTCCTTTGACAGAGAGGATATCAGGTCCTGGACTGTGGCCTCTGCCACCTGCTGCTGAGGGGGTGGCAGCAGTGGCAGGGGAGAAGGCCCAGCTTCAGAGGACGGCTCTTCTCGGGGGGTGCTACAGTCTGTGGAGGAACCCAGCGTCTGGCTGCTGGCGCTCTGGGCCCTGGTGACTGAGCCACAGGTGGAGTGGGAGGTGATCTCCGAGGTGGCACTGGTGCAGGTGCTGTTGCCACTGAGTTTCAGAGGCAAGTCGACGGAGAAGAGGTCTGACGAGATGTTGGGCTGGTGGATGTCTATGGCAGCTGTGGTGACCACACACACTGCTGGCTCCGGGACCCCACTGTCTGCGAGAAAGGTAATATTGGTCATGCTTTGCCTCTTTCCACCCAGCTGGACTTGGAAGCCCGGTGTGGGGCTGTGCAGCAAGTGTGGCCAGGCCTTGGGAAGTAGGCTTATGGAGGCCTTTGAGAATCCAGGTCGCTGTCACTGCCTGCACTGAGGGAGATGATGCCAACCCACCTTGTTGAATGGAAGTGCAGACTTGTGGCACTCAACCAGTCATCCATGAAGAGGGGCCCACAACACTGCCCAGTGGAAGCTTTAGAAGCCAGCTAGTGCCTTGCCCCCAAGACCCACACTGTGCTCAGTCAGTGGAGACTGCTGTCTTCTGGATGCTGGAGATGGTCTGGGAGTACAGCCCCGGACAGCTTACTGTGTGTTTTATTTAAACCAAGAGGCAAAAGTGTCTCCAAAATAGACTAACCTAGCCCATCCCAGAACGCCTGTACCAGGAAAAGGAATTGGGGTTCTGTTGAGGAGTCATTGAGTTTATTATTATTATTAATATTATTATATTATTTTATTATTATTTATTATTATTTTATTATTATGTGTGCATACACATGAATACAGGAGTGCCCACCCAAGTATGTGAGTGTGGTGGCCAGGGTATAAAATACCTTATTTTATACCTTACGTTCTACCTTATTTTTTTGAGACAGGATCTCTCATGCAGACTGGAATTTACCAGTTGGCTAGCTAGAGTGTCCCTGGGATCCACCTTGTCACACTTGAGAGAGTTTTAAATGGTCTGAGGTGGGGGTGGGCACATCCTGAGTAGTCTGTTTTCTGCAGCCTGATGAGCCCTCAGGGCAGTCAACATTCAGCAGCTCTGAGAGGCACTCGAGGTATATAGCTACAGGTTTCTCCCCAAAGTTATGGGGAGAGGACTGAGAAGATGGGTCAAGGCTGGAGAACCAGCAGTTTGGATGGGGCTAGGAGAAAGGAGAAAAGAGAGAAGTTGCCTCAGGGGGTTAAATAGAGGAGAAGAAAAACAGTCAAATACGGGTGATATAGCATATAGTCTATACTTATAGTAGAGAGTGCAAGAATTTTAAGGACTGTGAAATCCAAAATCAGGGTTTAAGGCTTTGGCTACAGAAAAACAAGATTCTAAAAGGTCTGGGTACAAAATCAATCTTGCCCCCAAGGAAAACATACTAGGTGTACCCTAAGATTTCAAGGGTATGATGAAAGCATAAAGCACATCGGGGTTACCCAAGGCTTGCTGCCCCTTTAGCCAGTTACACTGAGTAAGTGCGCTTTTCCTATTCAGGGCCACCTGAGCATGTCTCCAGGTTGGGAGAGAGATCACTTGAGTGATCTGGATTATAGCCTCTTCCCACACTACTCTCATGGGTCTGAGAGAGATTGCCCTGACCTTGGCACCTGTAGGCTCAGCTCTAGGGCATCAGAGTTTCAGCTAACAATCTTCTGAGGATTGAAGAGCAGGTGTTTTGACCCTGAACTCTGCCATCAAAGTCTACAGGCCTTGCTACTCAAAACCAGGCCAGACTGTACCTATCCTTAGGTTTAGGGCTTGCTGGGGTCACAGGTGTCCTGAGGCTGCATGGTTCATGCAAACAGTCCCAATCCAGACTTACCACTGCTGGGTCCATTGTAGTACTGGTTAATGTAGCTGTTCATGTCATCTTTCACCGTGGCTTCTACAGAGATGAGGACAAAGACGGGTGTGTGTGATGGTATGTCACTGTGTTAGCTAAGCTGCCCTCTCTGAGCCACTGTAAAATGCATTATTGTGAAGGTTACAGAGAACTAACAGGTCAGATTCCCAAATGTGGAGCCAGATACATACCTATGGGAGGTTGTGGAGACCGCCAGGGCCTTGCATACCCTCTGGCTTATCTGATGCTTATCTGATGCCCACTGATGCTTTTTGAGGCTACCTTCTGAGGCACACCTGAGTTGGCTGCTGAGGCCAGTCCACCTTTCAGGTCTAGAGGCTCAGTGGCAGAGGAATGGATCTTAAGAGTTTTCTTGGCCTCTTTTGTTCTTGAAACGCCTGTGGTTAGAGGTGTGCTCTGTGGCTGACTCCAGGCCCTGCTCCTAGCTAGCACAGATTCTCTGACCATTTCTAACCTTTGCTATTATTGCAGTCTAGCTCTGCCACTGTGCTGGGAAGCAGAAGTGACTGTTCCCAGCAAGCCATGGTGGGTGCAGTGCCTCTGGGCCAAGGGGTCAAGCAGCAGGGGCTGATCACTTAATCGGGTGTCGTTTTCTTGTGTTGAGCCACAGTGTACATGCCCCTCTGCCAGGTGTTAAAGTAAGGAGGTCCTGCCTTGGAAGCACAGTTAAGGGCTGGTGAGACAACCACCCCTCTGTGGAGCAGGGACTCTCCATCTCATCAGGAAATAAACGCCTACTAAGCACAGGCTTTTCAGAGCCTGCAATTGCCCTGCTTATGGGAACCAAAGGCAAACCCATGGTGACTATAATCCTCACCACTGCCCCTCCAGACTGATTATTAGTACACTGGTCCTTCTAAAACTGGCACAACCATCCCCTAAAGCAGCCTATACCCTGCAAATGTGTTTAGCAACTCTGCTTACTGACTCAGATAAGCTCTTGGCCAGCAAATACCCTGCTCTCCTCTGCAGGCATGGCCAGCGCCAGACCTTCAACACACAGCACCTCTGTGACCCCTACCCAGACTCCTTCCTCTCCACCATCCCAGACCTGTGGTAGATAGTGGTCCCAGAGTTGCAGCCTGCTGGGCAGCCTGCTGTAGGCATCCTATATCTCAGCCACCAAGGTGCCTGAGCCTCATCTCTTCTCTCTGCTGCCTACATGGCTGAGGATACTACATCTTCACCAGGCTTTTGATAAAAATAGGCTCAGTCAGGTGACCTTCAGCCAAGACCTCGCTCCTGAGCACTGACTGATCTGACCAACTGCCCCTGGACAGCTGAGTGACCTCCAGTTCCCTGTGACTCAACAAGTCCAAAACAGAATTCTCTCTCCCCATTCCCACTGCCTTCACCTCGGTTAATGGCCACCCATCCCAGCAGTAGAGCCAGGCCACTGCCAAGTGCCTCAGCACTTTCCTTAACAGTACCCCAACTTCCATCAACTGTGTGACTGGGCAAGGGACCTTGACCCCTCTGCCAAGGCCCTGCTTCTAGACTTAGAAGGGACCTCATGGCTTCTTCTCTAGGCTTTGACTTGCCATTCCAATATATTCAGAAAGCTTCCTGAGCTTTCTGGATGTATTGGATACCAAACCTGGTCCCTGGCTGGCCACTGGGATTCTGTCAAAGTGTGTTCCTATGCTGCACAGGGGTCTCAAAGTCTGAGGCCTACCCTGGCTCCTTTAGTGCTCATCTTGGCACTCCTTGCTTCATGTAGGCTCCTGGATCCCATTATTCTAGAAAAGGACCCTGGGGCTGAGTCTCTGTCCCCACCCATATAGGGGACACAGAGTCTTTATGAGCAGGAGCCACATGTCACTCAGTTCCCTTAGTATTTTGGTTTGACATATGTCAAGTGCCAAAACAGAGGTCTGCACAGGTCACAGATCTGCAGAACCTCCAAACCTTCTACTCCCTCTCTCGGGTCCACAGGGCCTCCACGAAATGCTCTCAGCACTGTCAGTCTGTGTCCTCACTCTTCTGGCTAACCCCTAACAAGAGACTTGTGACTGAGATGTGGCTAGGGCTGTGGGGGACAGGAACACCTGAACCACACAGCCAGAGCTTCACAAGCCACTGCTCACCTTCCACCTAACATCAAGCCATCCTTCAAGGTCTGTTTTTACGTAGCACTGAGGAACCCTAGGGGTCTGTGGAAACAGCTCACTGAGGACTGAGCCTGGCAGACCTTGGGTGGGGGGGGAAAAGGTGCAAACATAGACCTCAGATGAAAACAGTCAGGGTGCACACTTGCTGTGTGGTCTTAGGCAAATCTCTCAGTCCCTCTGGGCTTCTGATTCCTCACCTATAAAATGGAGGTGACAAATGCAAAGCTGCTCGGGAGCTACACAGAAAACTCGCTGAGTTTTCTAGCTATGGACAGTCACATGCCTGAATTCTTGGCCCACATTACTCCTGCTGGCTCTGCAGTCTCAGGGTGCTTCTGAGGCAGACGCTCGTCCCTAGGAGTGAGCACTTTGCAAACACAACCTGACTAATCCTGAGAAAGCCTCCCTGAGTCCAGAGGTGGCACTGATTCCCTTGATCAGAGGTCAAAGCAGAGAAAGAAAGGCTGGTGAGCTGGCTGGGCCAGGCCTCCTGGAGATGATCAGATGGCTAAGCTCCATGTGGCTGAGGGGCAAGGGTGCACAGACCCACACATCTCAGAGCCCCAGAGGCTGTGCCTTGATTCTTGCTCCCATACTCCCATGCCTCTGTGACTCAGCAGCCCTCACTGAGAGAAGATGCTTACATTCTCCAAGCTCCTGCCGCATGCCACACCTGACAGCAGCTCACACAACCAAACCTCCGAGCTTTCTCAGTAAAGAGCTTCTGGGACTTTCAGACCAGACAAGCTGCTGGACTGAGTAGCTCAAAAAGCACCAAAACTTTCAGGATGTCAATAGCAGGGACTTGAAACCCAAGACTCTATGTGACTGTACAGGTGAAGAAGCTAGCCCTGCTCAGGGAGGCAGTGACCTTCAAGGCTGAGCTGGGATTCAAAGCCAGACCTGGGTCCAAACTCATTCAGGCTTCTTCAAATGCCATTCTGTGTCAGGGTTCTCAGGCCTATCCGACAAGCTCTGGGGCTCCTATGGTCCCCAGTGCTTTTATCAGGCCTGCACACTTGGGGCCAGCAAGGGTACCTTGTGTCCAGGAGCACACAGGTCCTGTCTCCTCCAAGGATAAACCCTGGGACCAGCTCACTTCCTGCTCCCTGCTTCTGGGCAGAGGGAAGGCCAAGGGCACACTGGCCAGAGGCACCTCTGTGGTTGTTTATCTGGATGCTTGGTGCCGCAAGGGGGACACTGAAGTTGTGATATATGGTGAAATCTGTGGCACTCCTACCAGGAGCTATAATTCATAAGTTATGGGTGAGTTTCAAGACTAATAAATTTGGGAGAGAAGTATTAATGACTATACAGGGGCACTGTGAACTTGGCAGGCCCCAAAGCCTGGAACTTTGCAGCCCAGGTTTTAAAAATGATTTGTGCTAAAGCAAGTCTAAACAGAAGCCTGTCGGCCTAGTCTGACTGTGACCTGCTGGCAACTTCGGGAAGCTCTTCCCTCTCAGAGGAATGAGGCTGGGTTGGGGCTGGCGCTGGCACTCTTGCCCTCCCCAGCAGCCCTCCCCCACTTATGGAGTGACAGTCACACAGAGGTGATGTTGGCCACGTCCCAAGGCTCCTGTGACTCACTGCTATGTCTGCAGGTTAACGCCTGGATTGTCTGTGTCCTATTGTGCATACAGAGAGGGCCTCTGAACCCTGCTAGCCTGGGAGTCACAGCTACTAACAAATGTTGCCCTTTCTTAATCTCCAGAGTGGCCCAGAATGCTCTTCACTCATCTGACTGTAATTTCTAATGTCATAGAAATCCCACCCTGGACATGGCTCCTGGTCAGAGAGAAATCAGCTGGGGGATGCCCCGAGTCCCCGGACTACTACAGGCCATGAATCATGGAGGCTTCTTACAGCCCCTGCATTCTGCCCTCTACTTCTGAAGCACTGGCTGTGCCATTGAGCGCTCTGGAGACAAGCTATGAAAATGCAGATGGGTGGTTACGAAACACAAGGTAAGTGTGCATTAAAAGAGAGGGAGGTATCCAGGGATGTCATAGAGGTAACAGGGAGCAGGAGCTGGCAAGGTAGGAATCTCATGTATCATCTGTCACCACCATGTCCCTCCCCAGTGTGTTAGACTAAAGTTCCAATTCCTGGTACCAGGATTCGAGCTTATCTGGAAACAACATGATTGCAAGATGAGGCCATATTAGAGTAGGCCACACCTATACAAATAGGGAATTTGGACACAGACGTAAAGAGTTATGGAAGTGGAAGGCACAGATAGGTTCTCCATCATGGCACTCAGAGGGACCAACCCTACTAACACCCTGATCTCAGACTTCTAGCATCCAAAACTGTGAGGCTATCTATGCTGCTCAGATCTCTCAGCCAGTGGCATTTTGATAAAGGTGTCTAAAAAATGACCATACTACTCTAAGGGACTTGGACATTTCCAGAGTGAGCACAAGGAACCAGTTAAGGTGTTATATCAGAGAGTGACATGAAAGATTTTAGAAGGTTGCCGGACATGGGTGGGGGAAGATTACACTACCAGTTCCTCAAACCTGCTATGAGGCAACTGATCGGGAGGTGAGGAGCCATGTAGCTAGGGAGTGCAGCGTCCCTTTCTAGTTCTGTCCTTGATGTAAAGGGTACAGTCATTCCTAAATCAAGTTGGCTTTGATGTCCTGAAGTCCAAGTTCTAGGCCCAGGACCATCTCTCTCCTGGCTGTGCAGCTCTTTTCTTTACAACCCCACAAAGAACCTTCTTGACAGCAGGTAAAAATTAGGGTCCCAAGAAGCAAAATCCCCTGCCCAGGTCAGAGCTGCCTGGAAGAAGAAATGGGCTTTGGATCTAGAAATATATCCATTGGTGCAGTACCTGGCTAGTGCTCATGTCATGGTCCTCAATTTGCCCCACCTGTAAAACTTAGGTCACAGACTGTTGAGGTTTTCAGCCTGGGTTTCTTTTCCCAGCCGTGGTAGGTGGCAGTCCACCAGGAGGGTCTCAGACCTCCAACTAGGAACCCGGCTCTACCATGGTGATGGTTAATGTTGGTGTCAATTTGACAGACTGATTACTAGTAGAAACATGTCTGGGCACTCCAGGTTCTGAACTGAGGAAGAAACAGTGAGAGGATGTCTAGGTTGGGTTACTTGAGGTTGGGAGACCATCCTAACAGTGGGTGGCTCCATCCCATGAGTTGAGGCTCCAGACTGAATAGAAACGGAGAAAGCAAACTAGGACCAGTTTTCATCTGGTTCCTGACTGGAGCTACAAGGTGCCCTCTCTGCCCCCTGACACTTTCTAGGTGTGATGGACTGCACACTCTAACCATCTATCCCCCCCCCCCGAAAAAAAAAGAAAAAACCCTTCCTTCCTTTCTTTCTTTTGTCAGTTTTTTGTTTTGTTTTTTTTTGTTTTTGCAAGTACAGGAAAGTAACAACTATTGATTCACAATTGCCCTTTGAATGGGTTTCCTGGATCTGAATAATTTTTAGCTTGTGTCAAGGTCCCCTGGTTAGATGCTCTCCCTGGATTCTGGGAGGTTGTTCTGAGTGCGCTGCTGTCTGAGTGCCACCGCAGGTAGGGCCAGATTGGAAGACACAGACATGCAAGAAGTTGCCCCAGCTCCTGGAATCCTGTGTCTTAACCTCTGTATGCAGAGCCCTGGGGTGGGGTGAGGGAGGAATCCTTAGGACTCTGGGGACAGTGGGCTCACCTTGAGAGGGCCTCATCTCCTCCACGATGCTCTCAGCCGCAGTCTCCTCGGCCCACGTGCTGGCCTCTACTACCTTGTAGCGGCTGCGTGGCTGGCTGAGCATGTGTGGGGCTTGCAGCGCCGCCTCCCGCTCCGCAGCCAGATCCAGATCCTGCTGGGCCAGGTGCGCACGCAGCTGCCGAATCTCAAACTGTAAGAGGCAGAAGGGTTGGGGGTGGATGCGTGGATGCGCTGGTGGGGAGGGGGTGGGGACAGGGGCCCGCAACCTCACTTGGAGCTTTGTACCTGGATGTCACACTTGGATGTGGGGATAAAAGGGCTGAGCACCCAAAGGCAGGATGCTGCACTCCTTAGCCAGCTCTCAGCAATGCTAAACATGCTGGAACTTTTTACAAACAGTAAGTGCGATCATTGTCTCGGATATTGCAAGGCCAGGCGCTACTCTAAGAAAATAGCTGTGACTAGAAAGACAGCTGTAGTTTGTAGGAAAACCACTGGATCTGTGGTAATGAAACTGGATTTGAACCTGCCTTTAGCTACTTGTGCGCCTCCAAGGAATAAGGAAAGCCCTTTTCAGGAGGCTCTGACAGGTGCTGAATGGAAGTCAGGAGAGTCCCCATCCACAAGATAGCACACACATGCAGGTCCAGCTTATTTATCTTCCAGTAATATCTATTTCCCTCTTCCACGAGTTGTGCAGGATGGCTCTAGATAGTTCTGGGATATGTGACTTTGGGGAGGTCTTTTTCACTTTCTCTGGCCTCAGTTTCCTGGTTTGTAAATGCAGTTTTACATGTGTTATGGCCCTTTCTGAAGACGTTGTTAAAATAAAAATCTCAGAGGTAATGCCATCAACATCACCATCATCACTGTTAGAAAGCATCTTGGAAAGGCTTCTAAATGTCTCTTGGGTTTGCGAAGGAAATAGGTGTCCACACTGCAAAATCTTACTGGGATATCTGCCTGTAGGACAATGGTCTGCGTGGGCTGAACGGTAATGAGTCTTCTCTGCCACCTAGTGTTCAAAGTGCACATTGTACCCCATCTAACCTGGCAAGGGTGCCAATTCTGTTTGAGGCCCCCAAACAGCCCAGGTTCCTTATTAGAATGTCAGACTTGCACCTTGAGCGGCCTCAGCTCCATGTGGCCAACTCACTTGGTCAAAATAGCACTCCACTGTCTCCCCATACCTGTCCCTCAGGTGTTATTTTAATCTCCTGTTAGCCACAGCCAAAAAATGTCCCCTTGGCATTGAACCGGCTCCCTAGTCCAGCTCCATCTTCAAGTGCTCTCCTGTGTTGCTTACTCCAGTTCTACTGCAGGCCATCGACTGACAGCTGCTTATTCGCATGTGGGCTCTGGCAAACCTAAATCAGATCATGACACCCCTGTCTGTAAGTCTTAGTGGTTTACCACCTCACTTGGGAGAAAGCCCAAACTCCCTGCCCTTGGCTGGGAAAGCCTCCGCACAGCCTGGGCCTGCCTATCCTGCCAACACCACTGGGCCCCTCTTGTCTCCTCAAGCCTCTGGTTGTTCTGTAAAGGCAAAAGGTGCTTTCCCAACTGTTCCCTCTGTTCCAGACCCCATGGCTGCCCTCCACCCAGAGGGCCTCATCCTGGTCTCCCACCTGTTCAGTGCACCACAGCCTCTTTGAATTCTCTGCATCACACTGACTGCACTGAGATACTTTTGTCTCCCTCTCTCACTTTCTTAGACAGGGCCTCACATCTCCTCAGACTCACTTTAAAGAATGCTTGGCCCATACCTTTCCATGCAGCTCTGGGGCAGGGACCGAGAGCTTCCTGCACACTGTGCAAGCACGCTGCCAACTGTCCACACCCACAGGCCTATTTTATTTTTGATTTACTTTTATTTTGTGCGCATTGGTGGTTTGCATGTATATGTGTGTGACGGTGTCAGGACTCTGGAACTAGAGTTACAGATAGTTGTGAGCTGTCATGTGGGTGCTGGGAATTGAACCCTGGGTCCTCTGGAAGAGGGGCCAGTGCTCTTTCTTAACTGCTGAGCCATCTCTCCAGCCCCCAATTCATTTCTTTTTATGAAAGTAAAACATGAGCACGACTGAAAGCATTCACTCACTCTGGAACGGGCTAGCAGTGACCTGGCATGGGACAACTCCCAGTGTCAGTATACGTGTGTTTGGGACCACTCATGTTTCTAGAGAGTTCATTACTCTGTCATTGGGGCCTCTGGTTGGGAGCTCCCACACTGGGAGCAGGGCAGGAAAGTAGAATGTCACCAGGGAGGAGGACTTTCTCTTAGCTCCTGTTTCAGGTACCTGCCCAATCCAGAGCCTATGTGTTCAGCCCTTTGGTTTCATTTCTCCAGAGGGGACAAAGCGGTGGCCCCTTAGGGGGGAGTCTGGCCTCCTGGTCAGACAAGCCTTGGAGTATTTTTGTCTAGACTTTTCCCAATCCCCTGGCCCTGATGCTCATTTCACACTGCACCCTTTCCTCCCAGAACCTCTGGGCTTCTGAGGGCAAAGCTGGTCCCCTTTTCCTCCCCTGTGGCCGTGTCAGTCACTATTTTCTTTTTTAATTAATTAACTAATTAATTAATATTTTTTATATTACAAACCCAGTTCCTGTTCCCTCCTCTCCTCCCACTTACCTTACTATTTTCTCCACGTCCCTAAAGTTCTTGAAATCTGAATCCTCTTTGACCCAATATAACAAGACTTGTTTCCTGAACTGTACACATTAGATCTCTCCCTTTAACTTTCATCTGAGAAGCAATCAGATGCAAGTGTGTACTTACAACATTCACTGGTTTTCCTTTCATACCACTCACCCCGGGCAGGCGATGTGCAGACAGAAAAGAAAAAAAACCTCAGCAGGTGGCTGCTGCAGCACATGTCTTTAATCCCAGCATTTGGGAGCCAGAGGCAGGTGAGAATCTCTGTTAGGGACCAGCCTGGTCTACAGAGCAAGTTCCAGGACAGGATCCAAAGCTACACAGAGAAACCCTGGCTCAAAAAAACCACACACACACACACACACACACACACACACACACAAAGAAAGAAATAAAATTTTTGTACCTTAGTAGGTACAAAAATACCATGAAGAAACCTGCTACTTTGCATGCAAATAAATAAAACATTAAAAAATAACCAAAGCAAAATCCACTTAATTTACAGTGTATGCCCCTATCTGCACTGCATTGCACACACTCTTCTTGGTTGGTTTCAAGCTACTAGCACAATGTCATGGGAAACAGAGAAATAGAATGATTGATTCTTTCAGGCACCAACGCCAGGATACCCTTCACCCCTAGAACATTGCAAAAGCACACAAACTTGGACCTTGTCTGTGCTGTGGTCTATATACGGGAGGCACCTGGGTACTGCTGAATAAAGAAGTAAAATTAGCTAGCTTCTTCAATCCTGTGGTTTCAGACTGAGCCTAACACTAGCTACAGCCCAAAGTAGAGACAAAGATTTTGCCACATTCACTAAGCCCAGATCCTGGTCACAGACTGAGCCCCGATTCTGGTTACATACCCAGTATAGACTCAGTAATCTCAGCTTCCATTCCTGGCCATACACTGAGCCCTGACCTTGGTCATACATGAATGTGGGACCTTGTTATACTTAACTGTGGCACAGTCACAGTCCTAACTCCTGACTCAAGACACTGGATCTCAGCAATGGGACTGGCAGTCTCAAGAATATGAGAAAACATGGCTTGCAAACTTTATAGTGGCCTTTTGTGCTGGGATCGAGGGGCCACTTCTCTAGAAACAGTCCTGAAGGTCAATGAGGGCCCATGAGGTAACCTTCCCAAGCTCTGTGGGGCTAGGAGCCCTCTTGCCTAGGCTGATGGGAATCTCCCAGGGGCACCTGCAGCCACTTTCTCCAAGGCCATGCATCAGAGTCTGTGGGCCCAGCTAATGGCTTCCTAGGCCCCTCTGAAGGGATGCATTATTGATGGCTTGTAATCGATACGGAGCTGCTCTGGGAAGTCTCATTGGAATTCAGGCCAGCCAGCCGGAGGTCAGGGCCTGCCTAGCCCAAGACCACAGACACTCAGAAACAAGTTTTGAACTGAAGATGTGAACACCAAGTCCAAAGTAGTTTTCTCATTCATTCATTCATTCATTCATTCATTCATTCATAAGTCAGTAGGGGCCATGTTAAAATTCTGCGGCATGTTTTGGAATGAAAATGCCTGCCCTGGCTTAAAGACGAGGCCTGGATAGTCCCTGGTAAAAGATGGCTTGTATCACTGCAAGGGACACACCACCTCTGAGAATCACAAGTCTTACCCTGGGGGAGTGCCTGAGGCAGAGGTAGGAATACTCTAGATGCAGCGAAAGGTTATCAGGTGTTATCAGGGAGAGATGTTCTAGGGACCTTAGCCTTTATTTTAAAGAGGAACAGGAAAGAGTTGAACATTTTCACACAGGGCAGAGTGGTGGCATTAGTGCTGTGACCTCAAGGAGCCATAGAGAGCACCATGCTGACTGCAGGCTGCAGAAAGGGAGATGTGGGGGATACCCGACAGGGCCTACTGCAGTGGTCCGTACTAGGATGAAGGCAGGGCTGAAGGACATAAGAGGAAAGCTGGGGGAAGGGGGGGGGGAGACTGTCCCTACACGATTTGTATTGGAATGAGGGTAAGGTAGCTGGGTTTTATTTTATTTTTTCAGATGAGGATCTGACTATGTAAACCAGGCTGGCCTTGAACGCTCGTAGGTCCACCTGCCTCAGCACTGGGGTTAAAGGTGTGCACCTTGGTGTGTGGCAGGGGTAGGATTTTTTAGACACTTCACGTCAAGAGGATATAGGGAGCCTGGATGCAATCAGGCTCTACCCTGAGTAAGAATGGCGGATTCCTAATGGAAGAACTGCAGATGGGCCAGATGGCATTCCCCTCTGGCCAATAGCCGAGACCGCCCACTGGGGTTTCTCAGTGTGCCCCAGTGAGACCCTTAGGGACTGGCTCCTGACTTTCTGCTACTTAACACTGCTGCAGACACCTCCCCCAGCAGACTAAAGGGTTGTTAGAGGAATGGCAGGGTGCTGTTAGTCAATGAGTTAATTGAGGCCTGGAGGTGGAAGGAGCCTTCTGTGGTGGGGGAATGGGGAAGGGAAGGCCAGGACCACAAGGCTTGCCAGAAGCAAAGCAGAAGGATGGAGCCCTTGCCTCTGGCGTCCATCCTCCATGACCTCGTGCCAGGGAACTTAGAGCCTTGTGGGTGAAGTGGGGGTGGATAAGCCAAACAGAGTCCAGATCAGCTTGGTGGCAGCAGAACGTGATGTCCCCATAGGAGCAAAGTGGCTTGGGGGAGGGACTATGACTCCATCCCTCCCATCATACTGGATACACCCTTTTCTCCTCTGAGCTACAGTTCACCTTCTATCCAATTTGAGGCAAATGAACTGACTGAGTTCTGAGTCTTGCCCTGGGACCCCAGCTTGGGGGCTGAAGCTAGACTGGGGCAATGAAGTTCAGTATCAGCTAATCCCCAGTGTTGTTAGGAGGGTCAACCCTGCTGCTGCTGATGTAATCCTTTCCCAGAAGACTGACTCTTTGAAGAATGGTAACATAATCCAGAACACTCACACACATCGCCAACAATATGAAGCACGGAGTGAGACTGACTAGACATGCAAAGAAGCAGGGAGAGCTACCTCATGCAAGAAGCAAAAGCAGTTACTAGAGGCAGCCCTGTGAGTATTCAGGCTAACATGTGAGGATCTAAAATGATGAGTGATAGAAATGAAAGAAAAGAGAATGAGCCAGGGATGGTAACCTACATCCAGAATTGTAACACCTGAAGAACTGAGGCAAGAAGACTGCAAGTTCAAGACCAGCCTGGGCTACATAGTCCCTTAATAACCTTCCAGTGGAGAACGAGACTCAAACCACACTTTATGATACAGTATCAGAAGGAATACTCAGGTGGTGGTATAGCAGTCTGGACAAAGAGAAAGACAGAGTTCTTGAGCCCTAAGATGGGAGTTTTGCTATAAAAATAGCAAAACTTATGGGTGGGGGAGAGGGAGAGCCAATAAGAGAATAGGTTGTGAAAGATTTGAAATGCAACTGGAGCCCCAAGTTGACGGATGAAAGAATGGGACAGAAGCAATAAATCCCACAGCTGGGAGTGTAGCTCAGTGACAGAGTGAGTGCTCCGTGTGTTCATTAGCCACCACCTGCCAAAACAAAGACAAATCTAGCCCCAAGTTTCACAATCTAATGTGAGCTATCAGTCAGATCTATGAGAGAGAGAGAGAGAGAGAGAGAGAGAGAGAGAGAGAGCAACTTTTAGGCAAGCCAAAGCAAGATTGGTGCACCCCCCAACTCGTAGACCCCCCCCCCTGCAGTCAACCTGCTAGAAACAATCAGAAGAAATGCCATACCCCCCAGGATCTCCAGAGCTCACAAAAGCCTGGCCTCTGACAAAGGTAGGTGTGCATTGCCTTTGATGACGAAATAAAGCAAATCTCTCACTAGCAAACATTACACAAAATCCCTAGGCTAGGAAAAGAATCAAAGCACAGTCATGGCCCCACTTACTGTACATCATTAGCTAAGTATTTCTAATCAGATAACCGAATCTGGTCAACAGGGATCCACCGAGAGCTCCAAAGTGTGCATTACTGGAGTGAACCCGGCCCTTCCACAGAGGCCACACCCAGCCTACTCTGCCTCTAATGGGCCGGCTACAGAGCCCAATTGACACGGGCTGCAACCTGATCAATGCACACTTTGGCCAGCATCTCGATGGCATCTAATGCAATAGCAATAATTTGGCTCCACTGTCAGTGCTGTCTGTACAGGCTGCCCTGCCTTCAAAGCCATCTGCTGCTGGGATGCCTTCCAATGTTTATCTCCATTAGTTTCACCATTGTTGGTAACAATAAAAATCAGGAGACGGTTGAAAACTAATGATTTAGGAGCAGGGTGAGCCTGAAATCGTCCTTGGCCCCTTTCCATCCACTGTGGAGATGACTGGTAGATGGCCATAAATTTAAATTATAGTAAAAGGATAACATATGTTATTTCTCTGATGGCTAATTTTATCAGCTAAATAGGCTTGTCACTAAAGCTATCGGCTGTTTTACAAACCACTTCCCATGTTAAAAAAAAATAATAATCACTTTACTTCCCTCAGTGGAAATTTTGAAAAATCCAGGTGACAGAGCCTATTGTGCCAAAAAGGTGGGGCTGAAGACTTCTGCAGGGAGGAAGGAGCTCTCTAGAATGAGCCCCTGTTGAAGCAGTAGAGAACACGCTTCCTGTTATCCTGTCCTCGGGCCCATCCTTTCAGCTCTGGGCATAACCTCAAAGGTGAGCGGTTTGTGCAGGGCTGAGCTTCACTCCCTGGGATTCTCAGCACCAGGTCCAGAGGGAGGCCAGGATGATGGCCTTGGTTCACACCTAGCCCTCTGCACCACAAAGCCTGCCCTAGCTCTGGAACATGAGCACATGGTGTTGTAACCTTCTACCTTTTCTGCCTTAGACATATGTAGAGCTTGGGTGGAAATTCTTGTTTTTTTCTTGGGGAAACTGACCAGGGAGACAGTCTCTTACAGGGAGGATTTGGATGAGTAGGACTGTGCCTCCCACTACACAAGAGGGTTATGAGCCCATAAAACTCATTTTATGAGGTTAGGTCACTGTGCGGTGACTTTTTCTCTTTGGGGGTACACAGGCCACTATTGTCAGCATCTAGTATCTGTGAGCCATGTAAGATCTGCCAATGAAATAAGGGCAGAAGCAATGCCACCACTTCCAGGCCTGGAAAAGAAAAACTTGTGGCCAGTTCCCCATTCTGCTTTCTTCTGCACTGCTGGGTGGAGAAGACCCAGAGGAGCCACACAATGGAAGGAGCCTGGGGTGGGGGTGGGGCAGAATGACAGTGGAACAGATAATTTTTTATGCTCTTTCCATTGCAACCTGCTCTGGCAATGATAAGAATGACAAACACACTCCTCAACTGTTAAGACTTGAGAGTTCTCTGTGTGTGTGTACATGCAATCACATGTGTGCCATATGTGCACATATGTGCAACGCCTGGGGAAGCCAGAAGTCAACACTGGGTATCTTCTTCAATCACTGTCGACTTCACCTTTTGATTCAGAGTCTCTCACTAAACCTGGAGCTCACTGTTTCAGCTAGGGATCCTCCTGTCTCCACTTCCCCAGCACTGGGATTACAGGTGTGTGCCACAATAACAGCTTTTCCTGTAAGTGTCTAGAAATCTGAACTCATGTCCTCAAGCATTCATGACAAAGACATTAGCATCTTCCTGCCCCTACTGTGGAGATTTGATGCAGCAGCTAGTATAGTACCACACCATGCCTTGTGTAGACACCCTATTTCAGTATAGAGAAATGACACGGAAACCTGGCCTGTATTCCATAAGAAACTGTGGTGATATGATCTAATAAAGCCACTGAGGACCAGAATGCAAAGCTAGCCACAGCCATAGAAGCTGGGTGGTGGTGGTACACACCTTTAATCCCAGGACAGAGGCAGATGGATCTCTGTGAGTTCAAGGCCACCCAGGGCTACGTGAGAGTGAATCAGAGAAACAGAGCTCATGCTTTTAATCCAGTGCTAGTGAGAATATAAGGAGCTCATTGCAGTCTCAGAGAGCAGTCTAGGATTCTGAGGCTTGGTGGAGAGCAGTATACTCTGGAGATGCAATCTGAGGTTGGGTGAATCACCCCTTCCATCTGAGCATTGGTAGAAGTGAGAACTCTCTAGTGGCGGGCCGCTTTGCTTCTCTGATCTTCAGCTTGAACCCCAATATCTGTCTCTGGATTTATATTATTTGTGCTACAGAAACTACACCCAGGAAGCTGGGCGGTGGTGGTGCACACCTTTAATCACAGCACTTGGGAGGCACAGGCAGGCAGATCTCTGTGAGTTCGAGGCCAGCCTGGTTTACAAAGCTACACAGAGAAACCCTGCCTTGACAAATAAAAATAAATAAATAAAAGAAACTGCACCCAGGTAAGGGACAGCCTGTGGAAGCCTCAGTCTTCCCATTTGTAGAGGGGTTAATAAAACCTAGCCTGCCAATCCTGACCATCGGAGTCAAAAGACACCATGTATTGATGGAGCGTTTGTAAATAATGAGCATTGTGGAAGTCCATTCAGGAGTATTTATCCTGTCTCATACGTCAAGAGCCTCCTTATGTGTCATTCAATTAAACTGTCCCCTCACAGCACCCATGAAATAACAACTTCTTTGCCTCCATCTTTCCAATGAAGAAGCTTGTGCTCAGGGGTTGGAGAGGGGAAACAACTAGTTGCTAGTGGAGTAAAGGTAGGAACCAGCTTGCTGACAGCTCCTACAAGCAAATTTTTGGCACCCTCAAGTCTTTTATCCATTGGATGCCTCTTTGGGGAACTGATGCTTCTTGCCCAGGGTCTGGGCTGCACTAAGGGGTATGCAGGTACCTCAGGGCTCCTTAGAGCATTGGCACCAAGTCACCCTACAGTGATCCTCAGACCCTCAGTATTTCCCCAAATCTCAAGGTGAATTTGGTTGGTTAAGGAGAGTTCTACTTCCTTTTCATTCCCATGGAACCCGCAGAGGACAAACACTCCCCAAGTGTGCCAGGTTGAACTGTACTAGTTTGGGCCAAGTGCTATAGCAAGACCTGAAGGTCAAAGAGCAGACAGGATGGGGCTGTGCGGTATGTTTCACAATTACAGCAGGAGTCTGGCCATCAACAAGCATGACATCTCAGAAGCGGCTTTTAAGATGACTCAGAAGAATATAATGCCACACTGACTGAACCACTAATCTAATGGCCTTTGCTATTTGAAATGGCCAGGACTGAGAGAGAGAGGAGGTCCACACTGCCTCCCTGAAGGACAGCCACTGGCTTCTTCCTCTAGGACCTATGTGTCCATTGCAGGGATTAAAGCTCTGGCTGTAGTCCCATTAGAGAAAAAAATAATCACTAAGCAGCAACCCTTGAAGCTGAGGTCTGTGGAATCAGTGTGTTTCACAGTCGCAGCAGCAGTGGGCTGCAAAGAGCTGGCTGGGGCTCAGAGGCAAGAATGCACCACTGTGTGTCCTCCCCACACAGGTCCTCTGGGTCCCCATTTCCTCCCAGGACTTTGAGGAATGAAGAGATCACAGGAATGAGGGAAGCAGAGAATCCGTGTGTGTGTGTGTGTGTGTGTGTGTGTGTGTGTGTGTGTATTTTCATTTCCACTCTCATCCTCAAACTGCTGTATGACACTCCCTTTCCATGGGCCTCCATTTCCTCACCTGCCAAATCCTAGATTGGACCCATGCTAAGGACAGAGCCTTCATCTAAGGTGTGAAGGGTTCTGGGGGTACCCTGGGTGTGGCCTGTGTTAAGAAATGAGATGCCACATGGCAATGAACAAATGAATCTTTACAATGAAGAAGCCTGTAGCAGTGTTTAGCTGGTGAACCTGTAACAGTGGTCACACCCCTTTGGGTGTGGCTTTAAGAGGATGGAAGAGGGGGGCTTGAGGTCTGGCTTTCTGGTGGGTCAGCGGATCCAGTAGGAAGGGCAGAGAAACACTCCCAAGGTTCTTTGTAGTTTTCTGTGTAAGTGTTCCCCAATAAATACCCATTTATCATTTATCTTAGGTCTAGTGAAATCATTACACCCTCGCCTTCAGAAGCTTAACCACCTCATTGAGGTGGTCAGGCTAATATCAGGCTGACAGTGTGTCCTGAATGTCACCTCTGCAGACTTCCTTCCAAACAATATTACCAAGAGAAAAACTGCACCAAATCTGAACAGGGAGACCCCTACAAAATACTCAGCCAGTGCCCTCAAAATCATCAAAGTCATCGAGACAAGGAAAGCGTGAGGGACTGTCACAGGGAGGAGCCTAAGGAGACAGGAGCTCTGAAATGGAAAGTGGACCCTGGAACCGCATGTAATTTGAATGATGTATCAGTGTTGATTCATTCATTATAACTAATGTAAAGGTACAAGACATCAGAACTGGGCGACTCTGTGTAGGACCTGTGGAAAATCTGTAAACCTACAGCTGCTCTAAATAGTTTTAAAAATAAAAAAGAACTAAGGTGTATGAAACCAGGGCAAACATTTCTGTAAGTGTATTTGAAGGGGAGAGCAAAGTGGACTCTTCATTGAAACTGGGACTTACCGCCCTGAGGTGTGGGGAAGTGAAGATAGGAAGGTCCTAAGTTCAAGGCCAGTCTACACAGTGAAATCCCCATCTCCGAAAATCAATTTGTCAGTCAAGCAATAACCAATCAAATGAACCTGTGTATTTTTTTGCCTGTGAGGCATGTATGAACTCTGCTTGGGAAAGGTTCCTACTAAATATGTTCTGAGAACTGGAGCTATGAGAGACGAGTTGTGGCAAAGACTCGATGATGGTCTGGGCAGGGCTATGTGGACAGCAGGTTGGAGATTCTGGAAACACTAGATTCCTGAGGAGTCTGGCCAGTGCCGGCAAGTGCTGCCCTGTAGCCAGTGTGAATCAGGCTGCCCATGCCTGGTGTGAGCAACATGCTTTGGTTTTTTTGAGGCAGAATCTCATTATTTAGCTCAGGCTGAGAACTCACTACTTAGACCAAGTTAAACTGAGTTCCCAATCCTCCTGCCTTTGCCTCTGAGTGCTGATACAGGCACACACCACAGGCTCTGAGCTTATGTTTTCATTGAGCCCAAATAGAAAACATGGGGTAAGGAATGGCCCACAACCAGGTGGGCTGGGAAAGAGTAGCCTTATAGATGGACACCCAGATCTGTCCCTGGCTCTAAGTGGGGGGAGGGGCACCTGGGTAATTTACTACTCAGATTTATTACTAAAGCAGCTGTATGTGGGGGTGAGCAGGCAGTTTGAGTGAGTCCCCATTAGTCAGTATTTAAATCTCATAAGCACCCTTTGGGGATTTTTTTGCTACTTCCATTCTTCAGATTACCAAAACCAAGGTTCTATCAGTGTCCAAAGCCACAAAGCCACTAAGCAACAGGGCTGGCTTAGAACCAAGTCTGTCCCTGATGGCCATTCTTGATCACCCCACACGCTGCTAAGATCCACAGCTGACACATTTCCTTCAGGGTATCTGCTGTATGGCCATCTCAAACTTTGGCTCATACTGCGATGTGGTGCTGTCTCTGGCCTCTGGGGCATGGGCTCCAGCTTTGGAGAGCAGTGGATTGCTTCCTACTCTCTCTGTAGAAGCAGAGCCCTGCTCTACCAGGCCACCTCACCACCCTCCCCCTTGGCCCACAGGGACCCCAGCTGTCTGTCTTTCTCTGCCGTCTTAACTAAGATGACAGGTTTCAGGTGCTTTTTAAATTAAAGCAGTTCATTTCTGTTCATCTCTTTTCCAGATGTTACCATCTAGCAAGGATCTTCTTTATTTATTGCTCTTTCCTTTATGACTCTGAGGGAGTATCCTCTCCAGGACCCCAGGGAAAGAGCCTACATGTGGGGAGTGGCATGCATGGCACAGGACACAGGATATGCTGTGAGTTTGCCATTAGGCTTTCTCCTAGCCATGAATCACATGTGTGGCTGGTGGTGGTTCATGGTAGGGCTATGCTCTGTTGGGCATCTGTGAATTTAGGAGGGCCATGCAGCACTGTGTTGTTCCTCTCAAGATGCCAACAGCAGCAGTATTTTCCTGTGTACAGGGGACCAAGAGCTCTCTGATCCACTTCAAGCTGGTTTCTGCCTGGCGCTTCCAGCTGTCCCCTCTCAGTTTCCCAGACTCCCAGCCTAAACCCAAGTCTGTTCTCACCCAGGGGATTGCTACTACCCTGGTTCTCTGTCCCCACCTGTCCTCTCCTACCCCCTCCCACCACCCCAGAAGCAACCAGAGAGATCAAGGAAGATTAACATTCCCACAGAGCCACTTTCTCTTTCCCCAGATGCCTTCATCAGAGCCCTTCCAAGCTCACCCTGCCCTCCTGCTGCTGCCTTTCCTACTCACAAGAGGTGTGGTCTCTGCAGCCCAGCTCAGTCCCCACTGCATGCCGTCCTCCTCCCAAGTGGCTTTGTTCAAGCCAGCTCCTCCACAATCCCTCCCTCAAACTATGACCTACAGGATCCCTGTGAGACATGCATGGCACCAGACTGCTTCTGCATATGCTTTGGCCACCAAATGCAGTTAACTAAAGCTCCCATGAGGAGAGAACTGAGCCATATTCCGTATGGAATGGTGTTTTTAGTGCCTAGCATAAGTGCAGCACAGAGCAGACCCCTGATGGTGAGAGACTGAGCAGAGCTGGAGAGTTGCTCAGGGGCCACACTACTGTCTTTTCAGAGTAGAATCCCATATGAACTGCCATGGCCCAAGGGGCCCCTGGACAACATGCTGAGGGGTGGGTCCACAATGGCTCTTCCAGTCCCCAAGGAACACTTTGTAGGAATGGAAGGCCATGTTCCTGAAGTACAGAAAAAGAATTGGTTCGTGGACAGACATCCAAGATGACTTGAAGATGATGTGTGCACTGTAGGGATATTTCCTAGGGTCAATTTGTGGTGACGTCCCACAGCTCTCCACACTCGCCGGCTGTGGGAGTTTATGGCTGAGGAGTCAAAGGAAACACTGAACACACCTCTACTGAGATCTGCTGCGAATGGAGCCTGGGCTGGGGCTGGGGCACAGCTGGAAGCTGAGTGAGGCCTGTTGACTTCTGCAGCCCCTAAGTGCTGGCATCCTGGCATTACAGGGTCCTCAGCAAGGCTTGGACAGAGATGGGTAGATATGAAAGTGTTACCCCTTGCTCCTGACAGATTTGCGTCAGTCTCTCCAGCTGCTCCTCTTGGATGGCTTTGGCCTTCTCGTACTGCTGGGTAACCATCTCCACCTCCAGCTTCACCGGCAGGATGTAGGCTGGAAGACAGAGGGAGCCATGTGAAGAGCTGCCAGCCCTTGGGCGTGGGCTGGGGAGAGGCAAGGCCAGCATTCAGCCAGCAGTGGCTTCAAAGTACAGACCTAGTCTGTGGGGCCAGGGGTGGGGCAGGTGCCCAGAGCACTCAGGAAGTACAGAGGGGCCACAACCCAAACTCAATTCCTTCTTTTCCATCGTGAGGGAGCCCCGATTTTCGGTATAACTGTTAAGAAGAACGACTATAATCTAGCTTCCGTTATAGTTACAGGTGGCCATAAGACCAGCTCTGACAGAGCTGGGGACCTCAGATCCTGCAGGCATAGGGTATAACGGAAACGTAGCCTTTTCGGTTTCTTGTGATAACCCAACAATAAAGGCTAGTTCTGAGGTAGGCAATAGGTAGGTAGGTAGACAGACAGACAGACACCAGTTAGTTGTAGGAGAGGGAGGAGGGAATCTCCTTTTGCTTTGTACCTTCTCCCTCTATCCCTCCTGGCTATTATGAGGCATGGTGGTTGGCACTGGTACAGCCATCTTAGGCCATGAAGTGACTCTAAGAAGTAGGTTATGTGCAGCACAGCAACAAAATAGAAAGTATTTTTGGTATGCTGAGTAGAGAGTGAGGTGAGTGACATCTGCCACCTCCTGAAGACTTCTGTAAGAGAGAAGTAAGCTTGTGCACTGTGTAAGTCAGTGATGTCTGGGTCTCTGTTACAGATTATCCTACTTACAATACACAGAGTGACACAGGGGAGAAAGCCAGGGCTCTAAGAATGGGCTCCCCAAGATTTCTCAGCTAACAGTAGCCCCACAAGCCCTGCCCTTGGAGCATCTTTGGGCTTAGCAGCTCTAGGATCCATAGGAGTCTCAGAAGCAACTCCAGATCTTGACCTTGACCTCTGCACTTTACCACCTAGGGTCTCACTCCTTTCAAAGCCCAAACCTTTCCTGTTTTTCATAAGGCCCCGTGACAAGTCACATGCATCTCTAAGCACTATATTCTAGAGCTCTCCACAGCCCATCCCTGATGGAATAAGAACCTACAGCTTCCCCCCCCCCCCCAAATAAGTAGTTGCATGGGAATGGGGAGCAGGGCACTCTCGGGTAAGTGAGACATATGATGTGACACATGACTGTGTGTGTAGTTTCAGAACACCAAGCTGAAGAGGCGGGGCAGCCTTGGCTTTCTCCATGCAATGGGTCACACCCTCCACCCCACACTGACAAGGCACTCACTCTGAGTCCTCCTCTCTCAAGTGACAGCTACAGCTTCTACCTCCTCACTGACCGCCCCCTCCCCCAGGCCACTCACCATCAATGACTCTCTTCACCCGCCAGATTCGGAACATGATGATGAGGCTGATGGCATCCCAGGGGCTTCTGGGTCCATTAGCCACAGTGGATGCCACCATTGGGGCCAAGGACAAGATGATCACAGCCCCGTCAAACACCTGAGGAAGGAGTGTACTTCAGTGTTTCCAATCAGGCTGTGAGACAAGCTGAGGAGCAGCCAGGAGGGCCATTGCTGCAGGCCATGTTCTCCAGGTAGCCTGCCTCCCAGAAGTTCAGCCCATATCCAGCTGCTCTCTCTCTCAGAGGGACTTTCTTCCTCCAGGACATGACCAAGCATTCTTCATACTTTTCATGACCTCAGCCACCTGCCAGCTCTAAGTTTGGACAACCTTAGGCCTGCATCCCATGTCCTAGACCCTGGGCAGAGACTGTGGTGAACTCCTCACTGACAAGATGGGAGCTGATGGCCTTAGGGGCCTCTTTATCTGTGGATAGCAATAATCCAGGGCCAATGTGTCACCTCTCACAAGGGCAGAGTCTTTAACACTGCAAGAGTGCAAAACAAGGACAGGAGGGGTGTCATCTACGTGTTTAAGCTTTGGATTTTAGCTTTCTCTCTGCTTGCCCTAGCCAGGCCTTGGTGGGTCTCTCTGAGTCCAGGCCCTCTGTGTGGGCTCCTGGGTTTTAGCCCAAAGAGGCTAAGGTACAGACATAGAGGAGAGAGAGGAAAATGTAGCCAACACTGGATACCTAAGCCTAACCTGACCTTGGCCTATTGCACAAAACATGGGCAGGAGCCAGGGCTCCAGCACTGTAGGGGCCTCTTCCCAGGCCCAGCCCCCATCTCCCTGAAGCAGTGTGGATACCCAGGCTGAGAACAGGGATCATAGATAGCTTCTCAGAGCCATGCTCCACCACCAGGTAATTTTAGAGTAGATTTCTTTTCAAAACATCTCAAAGGCTTTTCAAATGGATTCAACTTTAACCATATATGTTTGTGAACCCCAAGGAAGTTTTAAAGAAAATCCTTCAGTTGGAAAATGCATGGGTTTGCCCCCTCCCAGCCTCCACCTCCTCTCACTCCACCCAAGTGGCACCCCTGTGGTCAAACGCATGCCAGACAGAGCTCTTGTGATAGAAGAGACAGCATTCCCAGCTCCTAGGATCTGGGGACAGAAAATGGTCATACCTCTATTTTGTTTTCGATGTAATCCCAGATCCCCAGCACCACAATCCGTAGAACAGTCTGAGGAAAAGGAGAGAGAGAGAGAGAGAGAGAGAGAGAGAGAGAGAGAGAGAGAGAGAGAGAGAGAGAGAGAGAGAGAGAGAGAAAGAGAGAAAGAGAAAGAGAGAGAGAGAGAGAGAGAGAAAGAGAGAAAGAGAAAGAGAGAGAGAGAGAGAGACAGACACAGAGAGAGACAGACAGACAGACACAGAGAGAGACAGACAGAGAGAGACAGAGACAGAGATTATTGTTCTCTCAGTAAAGAAGGTTCCAGAGCTCAAATCTGGAGCTCTGTTGCCCCCTTTCCCTGTTCAATCCTCAGTCTACACACACTACTCATCCCCTCTACAAGAGCCCAGTTCCAGTACAGTGGTGACCTTGCATTCTGTGGTCCCTCTGTCCTCAGGCTCAGACCCTGCCCCGATCTGTGTGCTATCCCCTGAGTATGCCTTATACCACATTCATTCAAAGCCCTTCAACTCTCAAAGCACATAAATACACTCCAAATCCCTTAGAATGAGTGATACCCAAGACTCTGCATCCCTCTTCAGCACCATCTCTTGGCACTCCCATCATGGCAAAACCACTTGCAAATTTGCAGACTCTCTCCTATTACCTGGTCACCACGTCATGGCAAAGGGTGAGAGTTGATTCTCTTCACATCTCTCTGTCCTGCACTAAGTCTTCAGCATGGCCACATAGCTAAAGACAGCACCTCCTAGCTTTCCTTGTGCTTGGGAGGGGCCATGTGACTAAATTCTGGCCAATGGCTGATGAGAAGCACCATGTATAATTTGGGGGCTGTGGCCTTGAATAGACTTAGTTCTGCTCACTTTCCTCTCTCCCTCCTCTAGAATGTAGGTGTGTAGACATGGTGGTGCCTTCATCAATGAAGAGGCCATAAGGAGAGAGGTGGATGACTGCTGGGTCTTCACCAGCTCCAAGCCCACTCCAAAGCCCAGTGAGTCTTAACTGTTTACTCAACAAAACCTGTTCTTCCAGCCTTAACTACCGGGTGTACTAAGAAGAGTTCTGTGTGGGGGGGTGGGGCTTCCAAGGTATCTTAAGGTCACACACAATTATGGCTGACTGTGTCTTTGAGGAATCTCTTTTCTGGGTACTACTTTTCTCTTATGCTGGTGAGTGAAATGACACAGTTCCAGACACTGATGAGAATAACACTTGCCATCTAGGGTATGCCTATAAGGGCCAGATGCTGTGCCAGCATCCTCACCTGTGAGTCTCATGTGAGGATGAGAGACAGAGATTAAAGAATCTGCCCAAGGCCCTAAGCAACCAAGGTAAGTTGCTACTTGGAGCCTGAGGTTTCTCTCTGTACAGGACTACTCAATCTGGGTAGAAACACATGTTTTCCTGGCTTCTTTTCTTGCTGCCTGTTCCCTCATACAATGTTGGACTTAAAACTTGGTACTTTTCTCTTCTGAATGTTACATCCATCCTTAATTTCCGGGGCTTCCTGGGCAAAAAGGCCCAGACTGGGAGAAAGGAAATGGCCTGAGCCGAATCTGACCAATGGGATGGCTGCTGTTCTCAACTGTAAGGGCCACTGTAAAACACAGCATATGGAACTTACCATTTTATCTTTTTAGTGCATATCTTCCAAATTAAATATGTTCATGTGTGGCGATTACCACCAGACCCTTAACATAACAGTCAAATGAGATCTGTACCACTCAACAGAAACGTCATGCTCCCGCCCCCTGACCAGCTCCAATCCATAGACACAATTCCGTGTCTATAATTTCACTCCTCAGGAGCCTCACTCACAAAGAACTGCTATACTTCTTCAAAAGCAAGGCTGGGGGGCGTTGTGTCCACGCCTTTAAGCCCAGCTTTTAGAAAGCTGAGGCAGGTGGATCTCTGCAAATTTGAGGACAGCCTGCTCTACATAGCAAGTTACAGGGCAATCAGGGCTACACAGTGAGACCCTCCATCAGAATGAAACAAGGCTGGTCTTAGCTGAAAAGACTACAGAATGTAGGGTAAGGAGGTGGGAAAGAGTGAGGCCAGGCATGAGGAGAAGGGCTCAGGACGCTCTTCCACAAGCAATGGCCTTGAGTCAGCTGCTGCCAGTAGGTGAAAGCCAGAGTGAAAACCCAGCTCCACAACCTCCCGCAGCACCCTTCCCTCTGCAAATATCTGTGCTGAAAACTCGTGTGCATGGAGCAGAGGACCTGCCCCATCACGCCCCGGAACCTAGCACATCCTATGTCTCTGAGAATATGTTCTCAACATGTAGTGACCCTGCTTTAGCAAAACACCAGACTCCTGGACTCCCAGAGAGACCCAGGATACCAGACTCTGGGGGCAAGGCCTAGACTATGCTTTATAAACGGGGCTGCCACAAAACTCCAGTGGGAAGCTCCAGTGCAGAGCGGCAAACTCTGAGAGAAGTGCACATCCCAGCCCAGGCTGCTTCTTTCCCATGGCAGGTGGGGACCAAGGGTTTTCAGTCCCCTTCATTCCAGGCTGGGTGCCTTCATGAGGTGGCTAAGATCAGCAAGGCAGGGAAGAGCCCTGCTGTGGCAGAAGATTATTTTAAGGTGTGTGACTTTTGTTTATGCTGCATTTGTTTAACTCCACGAAGCTGTGTTACTTTGCCTTTCTAAAACACCTGATGGTCTAATAAAGAGCTGAATGGCCAATAGCGAGGCAGGAGCAAGGACAGGCGGGACTGGCAGGCAGAGAGTGTAAGTAGGAGGAGAATGGAGGAAGGAGAGGAGCAGCGAGAGAACAAAGAGAGGAGGACATCAGGGGCAGCTACCCAACCACCCAGCCACCCAGCAATTCATGGAGTGAGAGTAAGATTTACAGAAGAGAACAGGAAAAGCCCAGAGGCGAGAGGTAAACGGGTTAATTCAAGTTAAGAAAAGCTCACTAGAAACAAGCCAAGCTAAGGCTGGGCATTCATAAGTAAAAATAAAACTGTGTGTGATTCATTTGGGAGCGGGGTGGTGAGCCCCTCAAAACAAACAAACAAACAAACAAACAAACAAAAACAACAACAAACCCAAAAGAATAAAGAGTAAAAAACATCTAATACCACACCCTGTCACACCTCAAAGATGATCCATTTGGTATTTATTTTAAACCAAGCTTGCTCCATATGATGGGTACAGGAACTGAGGTTCAGGGGGCAGGGAAATCTTCTGTCTCCCACCTCACCTTTCTCCATCAAGCCCAGCTCATTAATCCCTAGGGAGGAAAAGCTGACTTTGTGAGGTGGCAGAAAGAGAAGGGTGGAGTCCTCCATTTTGCATCTGGGTTAGTGGCAGAAGGCCTTCTGGCCCTGTTTGTGGCTTGAGACCCCTTAGGAATCAGCCTCTTCTCCTAGAACAGTTTGGAGATCATAGCAGATGGAGGAAGAAGTACCTGCTAGTATGTACATCAGCTTTGGGCACAGTTTTAAGAAGTACTCCTTCTGACTCAGTGCTTCCTGAGCAGAGTGGGGCAACACCCCAGTCCCTAGCCCATGGCCAGTAGTGCTTTTGCCTGATGGGGTTGAGGGAGTGGTACCTGGGTCCCTGAGCTGGAGATGATCCTGGGGGGATACAGATTTTGGACAAGTTTCCCTTAGGGTTAAAATGTTAAATGAGAGCAGCGAGAGGAAGCCCTGAATCAGGGCCCCAAACTACCCAGCAATAATAAGGAATGTGGGTGTGGTGGCTGTCAACCTGGCCGCACCTGGGATTAACTAAAACCGAAGCATCTGGGCACACTTGTGAGGGATTTCTCTTTACTGGATCATTTGAGATAGGAAGACCCACCCTAAATCTGGGCCACACCTCTGATAGTAACTCATATAAAAGGGCATGGAAGAAGGACGTTTTTACTTTTTGCCTGCTTCTTTGCTCCCATTGGCAAGTTCATTGATTCTGATGCTAAGTCGTTCCTTCCTTCTATTAGAGTCTTCTTCTTTGGGATTCCAACATATACTGGAAACTGTCGGAGACATCCAGCGGTGGGAACTGAACAACTATTGGATTCTTGATTTTCCATTGGGGACAGCCATTGTTGGACTAGCCAGACCACAGCCTGTAAGCCACTCTAATAAATCCTCTCTCTATCTCTCTGTGTTCACCCCATGAGCTTTCTTTTTCTTTTTGAAACAGGGTTTCTCTGCATAGCCCTGGCTGTCCTGAAAGTCTTGAGCTTCCTTAAAAGAGAGTCCTAGGGCTGGATAAGATGATTCCATGATTAAGAGCATTTACTGTCCTTCCAGAATTAGGTCCCTTTGGCTCCAGGAGACCAGACACCCTCTTCTGGCCTCCAGGAGCACTACATCTAGGTGCAAAAATCCAAACTCAGAGACATACACACAAAAGTCTGCAAAGTGCCAAGTATCTTTTGAGAAAGAGGACAAGAGCACATCACTCTCTGTAGCTTATTCCCTTTAAGTGACAGGTGACCTGGGAGACTGCCTCCTTTTTCCAGGGGCTAAAGGGTGCAGCCCAACCAGACATAGCAACTGATACCTGCAGGGCCCTGAGCTCACAGGTAAGTTGATCTCATTGTCTCTCCTCATGCTGGTGCATGATTCCCAGCTATTGTAAAGGGATGTGCTCAAGGCCTACAGGGTAAAGCCAGGGGCAGCAGGTCTGTGATGTGTGTCTGCCATTTAGGTGACTGACATTGACGGAGCACCCACAGTGCATGGAGCAGTGTCCCAGACCTTGCTGAGCAGAGAACGAGCAAGGCTTTAGTTCCAGAATCTCCTCTTGGCATAGAAACATTTTCAAGTCTAAAAATTAAAATAAATAATACTTCATGGACCACATGGGTCCACTGAGCTACTGACCCCCTACCCCTTCTTCCCAGGCAAAAGTGCTAAACAAAGGCATCTCTAGTGACCCTGTTGCAACTTGTCTGCAGCCCCTGATGTAGTAAAATGGTCCCTAGGGTTTCCAATGAGCCCCTGATGCCAAAGCCCTAGAGAGTGTCTTGTTTGGCTCATGTTTACAGTCAGTCTGTGGTGTCAGCAGTTGCCCCTGGAAGAGCAC